GTTATTGTTCTTTTTAAATTTATTTTTAGTTTTTATTTTGGGGGGTAGATAATTAGGTTTATTTATTTACTTTGATGGAGGCCCTGGGGATTGAACCCAGGACCTCGTGCATGCTATGCATGCACTCTACCACTGAGCATACCCTCCCAACTCTGTTCTTTTTTAACATATGTAAATAACAAGATCTAGTAGCAGGTCCAAAACTACCACGATTTCACAGACACAATAAGCATAAACAATATCTCAACATCTCCGCAGCTGTGATTTCTCTTAGTGATAAAGTCCCAGGTTGCTGCTAACAGGCCTCTCGTTTGTTGCCTACCTTCAGAATTGAAGGAAATGTTACATTTCAGTTAAAGACTCGTGAAAAGATAGATGTAATTTTTTTTCCAGGTTCAGGGAACTTGGGTTCATGAATCACAGATTCGGAATTCCTGCTGGAGAGTAACCTTCCCAGCCTGACCCTGTGGCAGCTGACATTGTGTACCCAGCCCTGAGTGTAGGAATAGTAAAAATAATGGCTAATACTGGCTGAGTTCTTGCTAAGTACTAGGTACCAGGTGATATTGGAGTCTAGGATTTAGCCATGAAAGAAGCCAGTTCCTGCTCACTTGGGGCTTACCGTCCAGGGAGGGAAGACTGAATACACAAATATACAGATGAATATACAAATTTGATCATTTCAGAGTGAGGGGGCGCTAGGAAGTTATTAGTACAAACAGTGTAACAGGATGACTTGGAAAGAGAATGGCACGGTCTGTTTTCCAGGGAAAGCCTCTCTGAGAAGGTGATGTTTGCTCTGAGACCCAAATGATGAGGAGAGAGCATGCAGAAATGTAGAGGAAGTGGGTTTACAGCACAGGATCTGCAAAGTGCACAGGTCCTGAGGAGGGAACAGCTGAAAGTATTCCAGGGCCTGGCAGGAAGTCCATGTGGCTGGGACAGACTGCAGGGTCTCATTGGAGTAGGGGAGATGGAGTCTCAGAGGCTGGCTGCGCCCATTAGGCAGGCATCATGGGCTAGAATAAGGGGTTTGGGTTTTCCTCTAAGTCTGATGGGCAGCCTTTGACAGGTTTAAGCAGGAGAGTGATGTGATTTACATTTGGGAAAGATCCTTCTAGCTGTGTGTGGAGAACGGAGTGTAGGGGGCCAGGCTGGCCACATGGATCCAGTGAGGAAGCCAGAGTGGTCCCAGGGAGAGACCATGGCAGCCTGGACCAGGGTGGGGCCACAAGGTGGTGACAAGTGGGTAGATCTGGGGTGTAGTTTGGAGAGACTCAGTGGCCCAGAGCTTATTGGAGGTGGGGGTGAAAGAGGGGTATAGCAAATGACCCCCATGTTTCCCCTCCTTAGGCCTTCCCCCTTCAGCTGAGAAACAGGTCCCCCCTCGCCTCCTCGGCCCCCTAGGGCCCTCCACAGCCCCTCTGGGGCCAGCCACCCGCCCACCGGGCCCCTGGCATGCGAGCTTCCCAGCTGGCCCCGATTGTTGTTACTCCCCAGGGAGTCATGGGAACACACTCCCCCTGCCCCCTCCGCCCCACTCTTCCCAGACAGGGCCAGGCCCTAACAATGCCCCTCAGCCAGCCAGTGGCCTGGACACAATGCCCCTGTTTCGGTTCATTGCCAGCTCTAGGAGGCCTGCTGGGTTTCCTGGCCTGTTTGGCATATATATAACTCTGGCTTCCAGCAGGGATTTTTTGTTGTTGTTGTTAAAAAAAAAAAAAGAGAGAGAGAGAGAGAGAGAGAGAATCTCTGGCTCCTCCTCCCTGAATATCTTAATATATTATAAAAAGCCTTTCTCTTCCCACCCTGAGCCCTCCCTACTCCCCTCCCTGACCGCATTTGCCATGTGCCTGTCAACCCGGGGACCAAATGCAGGCCAGCAGGTGTCAGCGAGAAAATGAGAAAAAGAAAGAAAAGCGGCTTGCTCCACCACGGCGGACTTCAAATGTGCTGGGGAGGCTGGAGATGACCGAACAATGAGGACCTGGGACAGGGCAGGCACCCAGCCCAGCGCTTTTCATGTACCTTGTCTCATGAAGATGCCATCAAAGATGAGGCCCAACATTATTTTGAACCCCTAAGAAAGAAAAGAGCCACTGACTAAAAATGGACATGCCATTGATGGTATGATGCACCTCAATTTCAGAGAGGTTAGAAGAAAAAAAAAGTCTGAGGATCAGTGGAATATGGGATGGTCTCATGTACACACTTCATTGCCATCCAAATGTATTTTTCTCCTTGTCCCTGAGCCTAGAAGAGTTTGGGAGGCAGGGCAGGGATTGAGGCTTGAAAACTCTTCTGTTTTGTGGCCTAACAAAGAGTTTTTTTTCTTTTCTCCTTTGGAAAATCGAGAGGAGATGTGGGCAAGCTGCTCCAGGATCCACCTTCATTCCTAGTAACAGCTGACATTTACTAAGGGCTCTCTATGTGCCGGCTACTGCGCTAAGCACTTTAATAACTCATTTAATGTCCTAGCAACCTTATCAGGTAAAGACGATAATCATTATTATTATTATCACCCCGTTTTACAGATGAAAAAATAGA